CAGCTTATCCTGAAACGCACAAGCTGTCCCAAACGGACCCTTAGTTATGAATGAAAATGTTTATTTCACATTTTTTTAAATTTAAAATAATAATATTTTTGATGTGATATGAGAAATTTGGGTGATATAACTATAAAAACAAAAATCAAGCCTGTGTGATATGTATGTACATGCCTATAAGCTGTTTTCCATATAATATTTGTAGTATTCCATATATGCCAAAACAAGCCTGTGTGATCCACGCGATAATATAAAAAATATATGCCTATGGCACGTGTCCATCATATAAAGACATTTGTTATGCCTCCAATTTATCCACACGAGAAAAATGGAAAATTTTGAATAAACAAGTCTTGAATCTTGATAACAACGGCCACATTTTATAAATTGAAACTAAATATATAATTTAACAAAACAAAATAGTTCAAATGGAACATTTTTTTTCTTTTCTATTTATTTTTTCCCATTATCATAACTTATAAAAGGCAATAAAATTTTTCTTTTTTTTTAATATCTTTAAATATTATTGTCTTTCTATCTTTAAGAAATTAGAATTTGTCGGCTCATTTCGTCCTTTTTTAACTTAATCACTATTTTTTTTTTTTGTAAATAATACACTCTTGTAATAAGTTGTATTATTTTCTCTAAATAACTAGTGTATTATGTGTCTATGTTTTATCATCTTAGTATTTTCATGTCTAAGCGAATATCAATATATCCAATGGTCTACCATATTATTTTCTTTTACGAATTTGATTAAGGTTGCATTAATTACTTAGAATTGTTAAGTTTGTTGCACGATAAAAAATGTGTAATGGTAGAGTGATAAATTAATGTCTTATAGAAATAACAAAAAAAATTAAAAGAAGTGATGCTAGTAATTTTATATGAAAAGAGCAGACTATCTGGCCCAATAAAAAAATATATTGTATGTTAAAGTTATAGAGTTCAACTCATATATCTAATTAGAGAAAATGAATATGAATAGTTCAGAACTGCAAATATCACACTAACAATTGTAAGATAGTAATTTGGCTACAATAATCATAAAACTATAGCTAAACATTAACAATCACTAGTGGGATCAGTGTAATGATTGTCGATGGTTGTGGTGCTCAATTTTTCTTTAAGTTGTGACCTTAGCTCTTAATTTATTATATTTATCTAGCAACGAATAGAGATATATTTATAATTTGTGGGAATATTGTTTAAATTTAGCCGACTCAAACAGACAATCCATATAAAATAGTTTACTATAGGTCAACTTTTCAACCTATAAGTACCTGAATGACCTTATGTTTACATGATCTTATGCTCGTTGGATATATTCTTGTTGTTGAGCTAGTGAATTTGATTATAAGCCTTCCAAATTCAAAGATCATTTTGTATTCTAATTGAAGCTCCAAAGTATTCAATTACATGTCAAGCTTTCGCCTGGGACTTATTTGAACTTAGATTGAATTACTTTCAATACCCTTAAATGCACTAAGTTTTAATGTGAAAAATAGTTGATAATGAGAAATAACTACAGAGCAGCACCACACCAAAATTTTCACTATGAAAGGAGAAATGTACAAAAATGTTCACCAGTTCGATATTTTATTTACACGACTATTTTAAATCCTCTCCTGATTACATAAGAGAAATCATATGCTTTGAAACCCACCTCTCAAACTTTACTGCTCCACGAAAGCCTTGCATAACTAACTAAAGAGAGAACTTACTCAGTCACTCCAAATCAAGGGCTAAAAAAGTTGAATCAAGAGAAAGATGAAACTAGTGTAATCACTTCGCTCCTTGACATAATTAATCCGGCAGCTCTAATTTGGACCTGGAATTGATATAACTTCTACATTGGTATGTCGCTACTTGGCATAGTTATGCTGACCTGGGAAATAATTGGATGAGCGTAAATATGTTAGTATGGCATAGGTACAATGTGGATGCTCCTTCAGGCTCTTTTTCAACAATCTCTTACTTGGAGACTGATAAAACCAAACACTTCTCCCCCAAATTTGTACCAACATCCGTATCATCTTCATAGTCTTGTACCGGAGTATCGCTTACTTATGGTTTTAATCTCCTTGAACTTCAAATGAAGTAAAGCGTAGCTCCAAGCTCTCAATATTCACCACTTTAGTCAATATATCTGAAGGAATAAGTTGAGTGTATATTCTCAAAGAATAACAACCCATATTTTAGGAAAGAGCGAATAAAGTGATACCTCAACTGAATAGGCTTCATCCTAGTAGGAAAATCAACATTCTTAGTAAAATAAATAGCAGCCTCATTGTCACTATGAGGCTTTATCCCAGTTCTACCATAAAGCTTTCTAAACAAATCATCTCCTTATTAGCCTCAATGATAACAATGTATTCAGCTTCTATAGTTAAAAGTGCAATAATTTTCTATAGATTGGAAACCCAATTCACCTTTGTGTTCCTTAAATGAGTATAAAATCTATCATACTTCTATTACCATCCAAATCTCTCGCTAAATTTGAATCTACAAATCCTTGTGGATTGATTGCTACACTTATAAAACATAGTCATGTTTATTATTTCACTAAATTACCGAAGTGTTTACTTCACTGATCCCGATGTTTTTATATGTAAAGATTTAGGAAGTTGATATCACTACAGCGCCAAAAACTTGATCCTTGTATGAAAAGTAAGTTGTGTAAAATATATATAATTATAGACAATTAATAATGAGATTCTACGCAAGTATATGTATCGTTATCAAGCAAAAATGAACTTTCCATTTAAGCCCCAAATATCAATCCCACAGGAAAGGTGCAAATTAGCAATGATAAATTTTACCAGGAAATTTACAGAAAATCAAACGAAATCGCTGTCACTAATTTCTAATGTTGAGATATTAACCAAACTAAATTACTTAACTATTAACAAAAATGAAATCCAAATTTTTAATAATGACTACTAATCTACTAACTATGTTTATATAATGAAGATTTCTTATGTGAAAAAGCATCATTCCCACTACAATGAAATTCTGGTGAAATGAGATGAGATAAATGTTTATAATATGTATTGTGTCAAATAAGAGCAATTTTATTTCTCTACCCTGATGCAGTTAATAGAAAATCATTGGTTAATCTTAGGTTTAGTCCCTAAATCTGTGGCTAGGCTAGGAGGATACCGGCTCCCACTCCAGAGCTCCCACTTCCCTTCACCTGAAGGCTAACTCTCACTTTAGTTTTTAAACACTAAGACCAAATTGGGGATTTTAGTCTGTCACTCTAAAGATTCTCCAATTATACACCCAACAAAGTTTGCACTTAATTCCATCAACAATTTTCTCCTTCATGGAATCAAATGTGATCCTTGCTCTGTTGTAGAACTCATACTCCATTTCCCAGATCATATGTTTCACAACACATTTTAATAATTCATTTGGCTAGATCGTAAAGTAAATTAAGTTCAGAGTTGAAAAATCATCACAATTTATTTTACATTTAATATTGGCACATTCATATTATCTCTTCATTTCTCCAAATCTCAGAGTAAGAGGAAAGATAGAGGAAACTACTCAGACTTCATGAGAAAGATACGACAAAACACAAATTTCATATATAAAAGAAATTTTATACAACACTAAAAAAACAAACAAACTTATTAGGAACTCTTTCTCAAAGCAATCCCTTGTAGCCTTTCCTTAGAAATGCAGGAAGAGCTCTCTCACTTTCTCCTTCTCCAACACTCTTACAGAAAGTTTCACACTAAATCTCACCACAAAAACTCTAAACTATGAAAGCAAAATTACTAATTAACTCCAATATGTGGTGGAATGAAGATGGATTATGGAAATGTAGCGTGGCATAATGTTGTAGAGCAAAAAATGAACATAAAGGAGCCCCTTTTCTGATGAAATTTGGCCCTAAATAAAGCCCAAGGTCGGTTCTCCAAGATGTGCCTCCAAAAACTCTTCAAAAATTGTCCAAATACATCGAATCTTCTAGAAACGGGGTCTGAACCACCTTTGGCGCTGTCGGTGCTAGTTTGGCGTCGTCGGCACTGAGTAAAAATCCTTCAGCTTTCAGTTGTTCTGTGTCATCGGTGCTGACCTTGGCGCTACCGGCGCTGACCTTAGCTCTGCCGGCATTGAGTATTTCCTCAAAAACGTCATTTTAACTCTAAATTTCATCCTTTTTGCTTCATTTTTGCTTTAAGCCCTAAAAATCAACAACCTGCAAGAAAACATCAAAATACCTTCTATTAAAGTGCAATATCATAAAAAAATAGTATAAAATATGGGTCTAAAAATGCATGTATTTTAGGTGTATCATTCACCACCTCAAAATGATACATTTTGGGATTACCCACATATCTACTAATCACTTCCACTACATATGCAATATCTAGTTCGCAGATATCATAACATACGTCAGATTACTACGAAATTCTCTTCATA